TGCCCTTATCCTTGAAGTTTGTGCGCAAACACAGAGTTGTCCAATAGTTGTCTTCATATCTTTTGTTCTATGTTTTGTTACATCAAACCAATAGTCACACACTAAGTTGGAGGATTAAAACACTATGTTAAGCTAACATTGCATTGTAAAGTTCTTACATAGGGAGAAAAAACTCGATTAGCGACTTTTTACATTCATAAAACTAAATCAATGAAACTAAACCATTTGTCGCCACGACAATTGCGACAACAGCAAGATTTGGCAGTGTCGACATAGTGAGGATGTTGGAGAATGCTTGAACGGGGGCTAGTATGGTCTAGAATTCCACCTCAACAACCGGGTCCATGGTCAGCAATGTGTGGCCAGGTGCTAGTGTGGGGACATGTGGGGCTAGTATGGTCTAGAGGTGCTAGTGTGGGGACATGTGGGGCTAGTATGGTCTAGAATTCCACCTCAACAACCGGATCCACGGTCAGCAATGTGTGGCCAGGTGCTAGTGTGGGGACATGTGCAGGCATGGAGACAAGCACTGGAAGAGGGTGGCTTGGAGTAGGGAAGAGGAGGGGAGGGGGGAGGCCCCGATAAATGGATTAGAATAGGGTAGTGTCTAGCGTTACTCCCTCCGTAAAGAAATATAAAGTGACTGAGACGCTCTTATATTTCTTTAGAGGGAGTACATATGAGCTGTCAGATTACTAAAGCGGGGAGTACACATGAGCTGTCTAGAATGGTGTTGGCCGTGCGATGCTACCCATAACTAGACTTGCGGGGCGTATAAAAAATACTGTGTTGGGTCGGTCACCTAGATGCACTAACCACTTGCAATTTCAAACGAACCTTCCTGGTTGAGCATCCAGCAGGTTACCCATATATCTTGCCCATCAAACCATTGCGCTTAGAGCACAAGACACGGGTTGCACCAAAATAGTAAAGGTAATAGATGTTAAATTTACATTAAATAATGCTTAAATTACATTCAGACACACAGGTTTAGTCACATTGCTCGAGACAAATAAAACTCTGACACCACACGAGGTTTTTACCTGGCCACAGGAAGGCTTCCTAGCATTCCTGAGGAGCCAGCACCAACAACAAAATATGCACCCAGACCTACATCTTCAAGCACGCATTGTGCCAGTACTTGTGGAACTACTGGGTCGTTTAGCTATTGCTGCTGCTGCTGTGGCTCATGCTGTGGGGTGGTTGGGGAGTCTGGAGCGATGGTAAACTGAAGGGCACGGCCCTGGGCTGATTGCAGGATGAATGCTACCTCTGCCGTGGCAATTGAGGCCGCTTCCTGCCAATAATTAAAAAACTGTAAGGTTAGATGCTTCTCAATGGTTAAGAGGGTACAAAAACTAATACATGTAATGATTTCAACAAAAAGGTTCACATGAACTAATGGTGGGAGATATTCGCAAAAAAGAATTGGCGAGAGACACCATTGATATTGGATAAAAAAAATACCTCCCTTTGTCGCCGGCGATGCAAAATGCTGAAGATCCATGCCATTATATAGCATGGCAGCAGAAATCCAGCAGCTCGGAGAAGAAAAAGCTGCAAAACATCGGTTGAGAATTCATGTAATGAGATTAACAGGAAAAAAAAGGGAAATAAGACCATGTGACTCACAGAGAACATGGTAGAAGAGTCATCATCTCCTTCATTGTCCGAGATCGACAATGCATGCCTTAGAAGCAACAGGGCCATTAGCTGGGAAAAAATAGCAATTTTCAGATATTCTTCTCTTGAAAATACCAGAAATATGATAAAATGTCAAGGAAGCAGGCTGGAACAGAAAGATGCACTCGATTCTGAACTATTTGTAACCAACTAAAAGAACAGTTACTCAATCCATAAACCAAACTGTAGGTATGGACAATATCTAAAAGCACTGAACAGTAGGAAGTGTTGGAGGCTGGACAATAGAACCTGCAAATAGTAAATACTTACAATGAGTGCAGCAGAACGACAGAATGCAGCACCATTAGCATCAGTACCACCATATTCGTCGTACTCTGCTTCAAGAAGACGACGCTGTGCAGCTGCTACAGCAAGAATTCTTGGGTCGCGCATATCCAGAGGAGCTCCTGTAATGGTCCAATCCCCACTGCAAATCAATAGACCTGACTCAGATATGTTCGAATTTTTAATGCACTTGAATCTACTACACCTATAAAAGCACGAAGGGCGGAGATCCAAATCTATCATGTTCATCCATACAACAAATTCTACAGCCTAAGATCCTCGAATGTTTAACACTAATTGCAATTAGCACGTAACTCCCGAATGCATGTCTCCCACTGCCCACCTTCAGTCAATAACTGCCGAATTGCAGAGCAGTATCCTCTTGAAATCTCTCGGTGCAGCTGTCCGTTCCATACACCCTATTTTACAACCAATTGCTTCATTCATTACTTCACACACCATGGCCCATGCTACGAGTTAACCGGATTCAACATTTGTGTACATCAAACCTCCAGTGGGTGCAGATTCGGGGTGTACTACTAAAAGAGTGAATGCATATTAGGTATTTGTAATAAGTTATTGCTCCTTTATATACATGAATTTCCAGCAGAAACTTGGTCGATCTTTTAGTTATGTATATTCTTGAAAATGTGTATCGATTTTTCTGTTGTCCTTACAATTTTATTGGTAGTTAGGTGCCTAAGTGCCTTAGGTCAGTGAAAGGAGAGCAAAGTGCCATTCAGATCATAGTTGTTCCAGGATATTTTTGCACTTGCACTTGGGTTAACAATTTGCTATGATTTTCAATTTTTGATAACTGGGCATACGCCCCTTAGAAATTTAGCCGGTAACTTTCTCCCTGTTACAATCATTTTATTTATCTTTACTTGGATTAGCAAGCAAAGCATAGATAATAATACACTTAATTTCTATCTCTAACTTGTTAACTACACCAAAGTCCTACATGTATGTCCTTCTGATATGTTCTCTCTATCACAATTGGGTACTCAAAGTTGTTAGAAAATATGCAATACCTGGTACAATA